ATGATCTTCAACATAATCACCACTTATTAATACAGTAAAGGAAAATAACGCGAGGAAACTTACATGATTGAGAGAATCTAAGTAGTTTTCGGAAAATAAGCGAAGTCCACCAACACGCACTTGGCCAGGTGGACTTTGACCTGATCCTCCTAGCCAATGGATATCCTTGGCCAGCAGTGGGATGATGATAAAGGACTGAATGTCCTTTTATCGTCCCACTACTCGCCAATGTCCGCTACAATAAGACACAAAAAGAATCTCTTATTCCCTGGAGACCGACGTTCAAGTTATTAGTTTAAATGCTATATTTCGAAATATATTTTTACATAATATTCCATAAACTATATCATAAAAATATAAACTGTATTAGTAATATTTTATAATAAGCCCTTAAAAGTTCAGTTACACAAAATTATACAAAAATAAATATAAATTTACTCACCGTTTTATAAAAGTTACATCGTAATTATGTTTAATACCTAATTCATGTAAGATAATATTAGTTTTTACATTAACAGTAAAACTATTGCCATCTAGTATAGAAAGAACTTAATGTATTTTTAACGCCATCTCTTGGGGAATAGTATTCATAAAAAGACCAAATCTTTCTTCTAGTTACAACTTTGTATGATAGATGGCACTTATAATTACTAAATGATATTTTAAATAAAACTATCTTTTCGGATTTTGTCGCGGATTTATTTGGATTTTTGTTTCCCGACGTTTCGAATGCTTTACAGCATCCATGGTCACGGGAGAGACTGAGGTGTTACATGTCTTGAATGTATAGTTGTTACAGACAGCCTACCCACAATTAACAAAATGAAAATTGCACCAATTACATTACAATATTTTTTAACTTTAAACATTTTTATAATTTTAATTATAATTGAATATGGAAAATTATTTATTTAATTTTGCTATTATTTTTATAATTATTACAATTTTAAAATATTAATTAGTAATCTATATTTAGTGTTGCCATTATTATATTTATAACCATAAAGAAAAATATAAAATGTAGTATTAATTATTAAAGCCATATAATTGTTCTATGTGTAATTTAAACAGTTAAAATTAATTAAGGATAATAATTTTAATTTAGTTTGCTATTTTAAAAAACAACTTACTAAGCAACACTATTAATATATACTTTTACAAATGAAAAATGAAAAATATTAGTCTGATAAGCTGTCATTTTGATCTACACAGTATGAACTTACTACATCTGCCTGTCTGTTATGTTTATATTTATTATTTGATTTTATTATATTAATAACAGGATCCCATGACGATGGTAGTACCCAGCCATCTTCCCTATTGAAATTAGGATGTTTTTTAATTTCTATGGCTTCTCGAATCATTCTAGGGCGATATCGGTTTTCTTTCGCCAGGATTTGAGGTCTATCGAAGCGAATATAATGGCTTGGGCGGTCCTGACTATGTTTGCAGACAGCAGATGTTGTATTGCGACGGTGCTTCACATCAGCTATGTGTTCTTTGACCCGGGTTCTAATGGATCTCTTTGTTTGTCCGATGTAAGAGAGCCCACAATCACAATCAAGCTTGTAAACTCCTGCATCTTGTAGAGGGATGTGGCACTTGACAGGTGGTAGAAACTGACTAATTTTCTTTGGCGGCTTGAAGTAAGTTTTAAATGAAGCTCGCTTTAGAATGTAGCCAATCTTGTCAGTGATGCCTCTCATGTAAGGTAGGACTGCAGGGACGCGCTCGACTGTGGCTGGTTTCACTCGGTCCCTGTGACGTAGGCGCGGCACTTGCAGCTTGTTGTCTCGCAGAACTTGCTTGACATGTTGCAGCTCTCCGGCCAGGTGTTGCTCGTCACAGATCCCGCGTGCCCTCTGAAACAAAGATTTTCCCACGGTAGCTAACTGTGAAGGGTGGTGGTGAGATTCACCATTCAAGTACCTATCAGTATGGGTCTTCTTTCGATACACAGTATGACTTAAGGTGTTATCTGGGTTACGTATAACTAATACATCTAAGAAAGCTAAAGAATAATAAATCCGCGACAAAATCCGAAAAGATAGTTTTATTTAAAATGTCAAATATTCGCGTAAATCTAAGAAAGTATTACTAAATGATATTTTAATATTTTTTACTAAACACAAACAATATAACGGAAACGGATACCTTAATTATTAATACAATCATTTACATTCTTAAATAAAAAGTTAGATCCCGGGACGCCTGGCAAATATGAAACGTAAACAATGTTGTATAGAAAATATTATGTATATTTTCTGAAGGGTAATTTATTAAAGAAAATAAATATGGCGTAATTAAAAAATAAAGCATACTCAAAAACAAAATCTTAAGATTGTTTAAAAAAAAACTTTATTTAAATAATACATCAGGATCTTTACTTCCAAAAAAATTGATAAAATAAATGTAATAAAAGCCGTAAAATGTATCATTTTATTATTAATTTTTGTGTATAATTAATAACAAAAAACAAATATTAATCAAAATTTCGTAACTAAAAAATCAGCCTTTTGATAATGAGTTTGTATTACGTATTGATAGATGGCGCTGTTTACATTTTATGACTTCTTAGCTTAAATTTTTATTTAAATTAAGTTGATTTAAAAAAGACAAAACAGGTTCACGTTTTAAACGTTTTTAAAATTTCCTTACTTTGAACCTCGCCACGAAGGTGCAATTAATAACTTAACTCAAAGAGGTAGGTATAAGGTATACATCTATACTAATATTACTCGTATAAAGAGGTAAAGTTTGTGATCTTGTGAGTTTGTGAGTTGGTGGGTTCGTGAGTTTGTGAGTTTGGGACGTTGTAGGGGGTAATCTCTGGATCTACTGGACCGATTTTCAACATTCTTTTACCAATAGAAAGCCACGTTCTTTCTGAGTGTCATAGGCTATATACATAATATATTAACCCGAAGAATGAAAAGGCTTTTTCGAGGTAGTCGGATTTGCAAAGTAAGTCGGAGAAAAAACGGTCGAACGAAAACGTTTCTTACGAACGCTGCCTTAACGATGAGAGATATATGATTATGTTCTAGAGAAAAGTTGTAGAGCTTAATAATGCCTACAAAAAAGTCAGCGACAGCATATGTCTAACTTTTATATTTAAGTCACAAAAAGTAGTTTTTTATATTAAAAAAATAATTTAAATCGGTAGGTCATGTTTATTGGTCATATTATCAACAATTATGAATTCTTATCAAAATAAGTAAATTTATCGTTTAAAATGTTTAAAACAAAAGACTTTTCCCTTTTACTGCATATAATTTGGACAAATGGTTGAGATAATACAACATATTCGTAGGTATGGACGAACCCGAGTGAGCTCTTTGTCTGTTTTTCTGTTTGTACAGGCTAATCTCCGAAACTATTGAACCAATTTAAATGAAATTTTGCACGGTAGTACCTTATATACCCGTAGTACCTTAGATGGTCAACATCTAAGATACTTTTCATTCCAAAAAATTAAAGAGTTTCCGTGGGATAGTTAAAAAACTATAGTAACTTATACAGCTTAGTACACAACAACTTATGCACCTAAATTAGTAAAATTTGGCATGCTGATATCTTATATTGCCGGTCAAACAACAGGTTACTTTTCATCCCGGAAAAATGAACGGTTCCCGTGGGATAGATCTGTTTCTGCATTTCTAGAGGCGAACCCGAACGAAGCGAGGGTGAGCCGCTAGTGTGTTTTAATTAGGTACAGTAATTTCCTGCAAGTTCTGTCCTCGTCACGTGACGGAGCCCGAGCGCGGCGCAGTTTACAAACATACGTGTTATGGTTAGATTCCGGATGAAATAACACTAAACATCCTACTTTTGACTTCAGGACAAGTGGCCTCCAGTTATGAAAATGACTTGGACAGAGTTAAACTTAACTAAAAGATACTGTGATTTATAACTATAAAGGACCATATATTACTTTGGTAAGAAAGCATTTAATTAATATGCATTAACTTTAACAAATATTTTACAGTTTTTAGACCCATCACTATGATAGAGAAATATGCCTAATGTCTAAGCAAATCGGATAGGTAGTGAAGAAATAATATACCGGCATTTAATATTTACCTATCTATCTCCTTTTTATAAAAGAAAGTAATAAAGAGCAGTGGTAAAAAAAAATCAAATATTGCTATCCCTCTTTCAAAGGTCCAAGATTTATATGAGAGTGGTCTTAAAAAATTGTAACTCTACTTTGAGATATAGTTAATCAATTAAAAAATACCTAATTATAATATTTGTCTACAATTGGCTTAAATATCGCGATATACCTATATATGGGGCCACGCCAAATCGGACCGTTTCAAAAAAAAAAAAATTTCTTAATATTTTGGTATTTTTAGTACCCCTCAAAAGAGGTTTCCTGGTAAATGTTGTGTTTTTTTTGGTCACTGGTTCAAAACCGCTCTTTTTTTTGTTTTTTACTCTTATCTTAATAATGATCGAAATTCAATTTTTTTTCAATATTTTTGTTTTTGAATGACGTTTACAAAAAAAAAATATCAAATAATATTTAAAAGGATTTTCATCGAGATTCTTGAATTTTAAGTTTTCAATCGAGATTTTAAAACTGTGTGTTAAAATAAAATTTAAAAAATGGAAAAAATAAATTTTAATTCTTAAAAATCGAAAAAAAATAGTAATTATGGAGTAACAATGGAAATTTAAGATAGAAAATTTTCAAAAAAAGTCGAAGAATATCGGCACTTTTAAAAACACATATCAAAAGTCTCGGTTAAAAACCAAAAAGAGTCTTTTTGAAAATTCGATATTTTTGAACCAGTGATCAAAGAAAACTCAAAATTTATCAGGAGACCTCTTTTGAGAGGTATTTAAAATTAATTTTTTAAAACCGTCCGATCTGGCGTCAGGCGTGGAATGCCTCATATAAAAACGCACTTGAATTGAGTAGGTACTTTTTAATAGCCGATCAAAAATATTCAAACTGATATTTCCTTTCACAGCAACATATGTAGATAGTGAACATGACACGACCGAATGTGAGAAAATTACTCATAACAATCACAATATTCTTATCAACTAATGAAGCGAAAATATTAAGAAACAATGCGCTCATGACAAAAATGGTCTCAAACTTCCACAGAGACAATGACTTATCGGAGCAAGATACAGAAAAGCCTGAGCCCGTTTATATTCGAATGCAAAACGTTCTTTGCAAGAATTTTCCGACGATTCCCTGCTCCATGATCACTCAAGATAAAACATTGAAGAAGCTCATTGAAAAATCAATACAGCAAATTAACAGCAAGATTGTATTACTAGAGAAAACCACGCCCTTTCCGAGCTACCTGACTCTGTTCCCGATCGTCAACAACGAGGACCAGTCCAATTTTGATCAAGTCTTATCAAGATATTCCCGAGAAAAGGCAAAATCTCGAAATAATAAAAAACATTGGGAACTGGTCAAAATCGTAGAGAAATCACACGAGAAACGTAAGAAATTAAAAAACAAAACTAAACGTACGTCTGTTTACGGGAGGAAGAAACTGCGCAAGTTCTACCCCCACAAAGTCAAATATCGGGACAAGATCAGAAACCCGAAAGGTGATTTCGAGGATAATTCTGGAGAAAAGCTCTCAATGTCGGTAGAAGTACCCGATATGGCTCTAACTAAAAAACATCAGCATTTTTCGTATAAGTTGCAGCCAGTGGACCCGCCCGTGTGGAGGATAGACTACATGAAGCACGGGGAACCGAGCCTGAACATGTTCGGTTACGAAAACGATAAATACAAAGGGAAAATAATGAAAACAGGACCAAACGTGGTCGTTGACAACGTCGTCGAGGGTAGGAAGGACGTCCTTCACCCAGATGTTTACATCAAGAAGAATTTAGTGAGAAAAACTCAGGATTCAGATGGTGTAGATTAAACTAAGTATTAGTTGTATTGTATGTATAGATTTCGCTTTAATACTATTTTATTATATATCTATACCTACATAATATATATCTTAAGAAAATATTAACAACATTGATATTTTGTGAGAAACTATAGGTAGGTATTATGCAATGTACATACATAATATATTGTTTTATTTTTAACAAAAACTTACAAGATAATATTATCGTAATATATACATACATAAGTATTCAGTAGGCATGCGATGTAAAGTGTAGCGCATAAAGGAAATTTGATTTTATAATTCAGATACGTTTACTGTAACTTTTAGGGAATATATACCTAAATGGCATTAAATGAAACAGCTGCAGTTTAGTATATGGGACGCGGCTCCTGGAGAAGTAGGTGGTATTTTTGGATAGGGGAGGCAATAGGGAGTCCAAATATATACATTTTGTTTTGAGGAAACGAAAGAGTCAAACGTTATTGACAGTTAAAGTTACAACATTTCCATACATTATTATAACATTTCTGCACTTTGACACTTGGAAATGTCAAAATATTACTTCCAAGTGCCAAAATGATCTTCAAATAATGAGTCAAATCTATCATCGAATTTTAAATTAACATAAAGCACTAATGATAGCAGGAGTTCTGGGTTTGAAATAAAAAAAAGACATAACCAGAAGGCTAAGGCGGGAGCTACGCTACGCTTCGCTCCCGCCTTAGCCTTCTCAACCTAAATTATCCAAGTCGGACTGTCACTTAATCGAAAATAAATAATACACTTAGATAAAAAAAACAGTCTACTTACGTTTATAAGCTGCATGAGTACACTTAAAACACTAAAAACATTTAAAACTATAGTAAATACTATTAAAACAAAAAACTAGAAACGAACGTATACGAAAATTAACAAAAACTAATAACTACTGGAAAATAATATGAGAAAAATAACTATGAAAAAGAGCAAAAAATATGAAAACTTAAACACGTTTAATGAGTACAGATCATATTCACATACACTATTGATTATTGAACTTCGCGGTATTATGTGACTACCCACCAAAAATCTTGAAAAGTATTCACAGATAATAAAATCAAAAAAAATTGCTAAATGTAAATTAAGTATATATAACTCAATATTTTACATAAATCGAATAAAAATTCGTAAATTTATGTATGAATTGATAACGTCTTTCTATTTTAGAATCTTAGTAGGTAATTTGACGACAATTTTCACTTTTAATATACTTTTAATATTAATACAACAAAGCCTTATTTGTTATGAAAATATGGATTTTACACGAAAAAGGATTTATTATTCGTTAAAGGTATGTTTATCATTTGTAATGACTTATTTATGTATAGAAATGTTCTAACTTTAAGTCTCAATAACTTTTGAATCCTTCGTTTCCTCAAATTTTTATATATCTGAACTCCCTATCACCTCCTCTATTCAAAAATACCACTTACTTCTCCAGGGGCCGCGTCCCATATACTAAACTTGTGCTGTTATTTTACAGACTGCTTAATGTTTACAAAAGTATAAATCACACACGATAAAGACACAAACGATAAAGTGATTATAATTGTTACTATTGCTAATAGCAAGTACAAAAAAGGAAGTAAAGTACCTAGAGGTTATCTAAACTGTGTCATTAGTTGTGAAAACAATCGCTAAACAAACTTATCATTGTGAACTCCATTAAATGCAAACCCAAATAAAATTAACAAATTATTTAAATTAACGTAACCATTATGAATACACGCCAACAAGACAATGTTATGAGTGCAGTATCTCCTCTACTACTTTGACCTCTCGTGGTTTTATCAGAAACATCCGATTCTCGGAGAGGAAAGACGTTTAGTTAGCTTTAGTTAGTAACAATGTCGAGACCAGTTCTATCCACACATGTTCTGGACACTTCTACTGGAAAACCTGGGGTTGGTATTTTTGTAGAATTATACAAAAAACGCGGCGACAGTTGGACGCAGTGGCACAACACTGTGACGTCTAGCGATGGCAGAATACAGTTCCCCTTCTCCAAGGAGTCTATGTCGGAAGGCACTTACAAACTAAAGTTTAACATTGAGGATTACTATAAAAGGAATGACCAGGAAACTTTATATCCTTATGTAGAGGTAAGTGATTGAAATAACTGAATTTTAAAATATTAAATTTAAACTAAATATCGCACACACTAAAGAAAAAACCTTCATGCTATCTAGTCTGTTATCTGTACATAATAATGAGGATGTTACAAACAAAAATTCTACAAATTAAACTTGTGCTCTAATGAAACGACTTTTATCTATACGAATTTACAAATTATTACTAAGCCCAAAGAACGGTGGTGTTTGATCTGTATGAATGTACACAATACGCATGTCTGACCATATGTTCCCTCGTTATTATTGAATATACTTATTCAATAATAACGTAAAATTAATCTTTCCAATCTGCTATTTACGCTGTTGAGTTTCTCTTTTCATAATTTTGCGCCATGATGGCAATGAATGCATAACACACGTGTATGTTATACATGTGTATGCTATACACGTGTGTTATGCATTGTTATAATAATATTTGATGTTAAGCGGGAATCGAACCCACAGCTTACGATACAGGCTGCCATAACGAAGTAATTCTTGCACAGTGTAAATAATTTCAACACAAAAATGGGAAGATTAATTTCATTTAGCGTTCATTTATGTATATATATATACTAGCGGACCCGACAGACGTTGTCCTGTCTACACGTCTTTAATTTGAAAATTTCAAACTTTTTTTAATAAGCTAAAACATTCTGGACCATTTTGATAAAAATTATTATTCAAATTGTGAATCTAAACCATTCCCAGATCCCCTTGAACACACACAAAAAATTTCATCAAAATCGGTCCAGTCGTTTGAGAGAAGTTCAGTGACATACACACTCACAGAAGAATTATATATATAAAGATATTTTTTTTAGATTGTTTTCAACACGAAGGAAGACCAACATTACCATATTCCGCTACTGCTCAGCCCGTACGGATACTCCACGTACAGAGGAAGTTAGACACATTCAACAGTCATTGCTATTATTAAATTGATTAAATTAAAAACTTTTACTATTTCTTTTTATAAATGCGTCGTTTCATTTAGTTGTTCTTAAAGAAATCTTGTCTATTGCAACTTTCTAATTTCAATAGTGCAGTGGATGATAAATTAAATAATTTAAATAAAATATCAAAGTTAAAATAAAACAGCAATAACAATTAATAATAATGTAATTCGTATGTTTTACAAAATTAACTTCTAAAAATGACATAATATACGACAACTAAATAAAACTATTTTCTAATAATCTTATTGGACTATATTTACACACTTCTATGGAACCTAACTCATTTTGTTCATAAACCCTACCTAATTATAACATATACCTATAAAATATTTGTCTGTACACTTATAAAATTTAATTTAATCAAATAAAACAAAAACTACAACACTGTTACATTAAAATGTATAAATGCGAATGGAGTATAAAATAATTACTACATTACAATCAAAAAAACAAAATTTTATACTTTTAAAAAGTATTTAGTTGTTTCGTTGACAGAATTTATTTCGTTGTTAAAAAAAAGAAACTGCATTTCTATTTATTTAAAGTATTATTTTAAGTAAAACGAAATTAATTTAAATAATATGAGGGATGTTGTTAACACTATATTTAAATTTTAAATATAATTTAAGCTCAAATTTTATTATAATAGATGAGTGTGTAAAAAAAAATTGTAAAATGTTACAACACTAGTCTAGTGTCACTTATACAGCTAAGAACTAAACAAATGGTATAAGTTTTGTTTGGCACGCAGTCCGCCGCCGGCAGGCTCTGTAATATAAATGGTCACATTCGTCAGTAAACTGAAGTCATCACGTTCACCGTTTCTTCTCAACGTCACACACAAAATATCACAGATCACAGCTCGTTATGAATATCTGTCCGAGTAAGTCTATAAGCTCCGTTAAATGTCCATGTTCAGGCTGCTTGGATACTACACTTGTATACTATTTTTCTAGATGTTTTATATATAAATGCAACATCCGATGAGAACTCTTTAGGCTTGCTACGATGAAGCCACGAGTCAATTTATAACAAAAATTATACATTGGACCGTTCAAACAAATGACACTGATAAAATAATGATAAAAATAATAAATGTTCTAAAAAGACAAGTGGCTTATTCTGAAAAAAAATTATGAACTGGCAATACTGCTGCAAAAATAAAAAGATAATATTGTATTCCAATTATGTCGACTCTTGCAATATTTTCGTTTTATTTACCCATACCTGTGTGGCAAAATTTATATGAAATTGTCTAAGAGTTTTACATATAAAACTTACCGAGTGTAAGCTGGGCACATCTTAACGCCGGCCCTGAAGGTTTGCAGCGCCTCATCTAGTTTTGTAACACAGAATCAAACGATTAGACAGAGAGCTTCATCGCAACACTGACCAAGTTACCCAACTCCCAAACCATTCCACATTATTCAATTTAGTTGAAATCCTCTTTTACTTTCTTGTAATAAATAAAATATTACAGACTCATCACTATTGACCACATATATTAAGTAGCTTATAATTTGTTTTAAATTCCATTTTAACATTTAATAAAGTTAAATAAGAAATTATATAATTATTGTTGTAGGTGTATAAATAATTTAAATTAAAAACACAAATACATGACTAGATAGTGGCTACAGTCTAGTAGAGACAATTCATTTTAGGCATACCTGTAGCCGAGGGGCCTGCAACAAACAATCATTAGTGCAAAAAAAACAAAAATTAAATCCAACCCACCTATTTATTTCCTTCCTCTTGGCCGACAACTTCTTTATATCTTGCAATCATGAGTTTTTTTACAGTATCGCGATAAGTTAAGCCGGGAGTTGGTGTGTATATGCCTCTTTTCTGTCCCAATCCAGCTAAACTTGGCCTCTGTTCAGCTTCTATAGGAGCTATTCTGCCTTGTTCCTCTTTGCCAAGTCCTCGACCCTCTGACCAACCCATTTTTTGTAACATCTTACCCCCAATAGTGTCTACCACAGATGGGGGAGGGTGAGACATCACTGGTGTATGTACTTCAGGGGGTTCATACCGCTTTCTAATCGGTGGAGGATCATCTTCTCCAAATTTCATGCGTCTTTCTGCAGCTCTATCTCTGTAACCATTTGTTTGTGGCAGGAGTTCACTCCTCTTTCTGTGCTCTGCCAAGTTTTGCTTGTGCAAATCTGACAATGTTTTATGCTTTGTCAGAACTTCAAGTGAGGGGAACTTTCGTTTGCATATCAGGCATGTCAGTTTGGACCAATCTATAATTCCCTCATCAGTATCAAATATGCTCATTTCAGTTTTTTTTACAAGAAATTCATCAGTTGAGACTGGAGGAGGTGAGAGTTCTCTCACATGTGTTTGTGTCAGAGATGGCCCTGCTCCTAAAACTGAAAATCCTATATCTGCCGAGCCTATACTAGCTCCAGTATCTAGGGGTTGTTCCATGACTATATTACTCTTAGCATTTTCTTTCTTTTGATTAAGGGTCCGAGCCCATCTTTCCATATCTTTTGCTATTTTTTTAGCAACTTTCACCTTATCTTCTTTTTCTTTTTTTTTCTTTTCTTCCGGCTCTTTAGTTATAGTATTATCACTACTTGGATGGGGAGGATTTTGTAATTTAGGTTGGTCAGTGTTTGTTTGTGTTTGAGAAGCAGCTATATATGTAGAAGTGGTCGAATCCCAATACATATACTGATTTATTTGACTATTGTAAAAATACTGAGTGTTACCATCATAGTACAAACCAGTTGCAGGGTCATAATAATAACCAGAAGTCTCGTCATACATGAATGTTCTGACATCAGGTGGTGTAAACACAGTTTTTCCATCTCCAGTAGGAATGTTAGAAGATGGTGTGGCTTGGGCAGAGGAAGAAACAAATACTGGCACAGAGACCGGTGTCCATGCCATCTGGCGAGCTTGTGCAGCAGATATAGCTGATTGTGCAACGGCTGCTGCAGCATTAACTCTGTCTGCCTCTGATAGTGCTTGAGAGTTGTAATTTGCCATTTGTGCATAGTAAGCAGAATAGTCAGAATTGGAAGGTTTTTGTACTTTCTGTGGCTCATTATAAAATGTTATTAAAACTTCACGTCCATCTATATTCAATGGGGGATCAAGAGATATTAATTCTGAGTGAGCCGCAGTGGAATCTGCTATAGAATTAAAATTAATATAAGCAAGGCACTTTGAAGCTCCCGTTAATGTTTCTCTACCAATGGTTATTCCAGCTATAGAATCTAAAACTGATTTAGAACATCTTTCTTTGATTTCCTCTAAAATTTTTTCTTCAGTTGTTAGTGCATCAAGTCTTCTGAATAACAATCGCTTTGTTATACCCGAGTTTGATTCAGTGCTAATATTTCTTTCGTTATCCCCGCCATATACCACACCCTCAGATCTTTTACCTTGACAATTACGTCTGTAACAGATTTGACGCCGTTTAAAGTTGTATGAGCCGCACTTACAAAACCAATCGCCAGGAGTGGCGTTCACTGTTTGGTTGTCGTCATGCTTATTCTCTCTTTCGTATTTATTTTCATAGTTGTCTACATGATGGTCTTGTCTCTCGTGGCTTTCAGAGCGGCTGCTGGAATGGGACTCGGCATGTTTGTCAACATCGCCGCTGATCGTTGGCGGTGATGGAGGAGCCGGCACATCCTTATCGTCGTAGCGACGAGGCGATCGGCGCCTGTCTCTCTCACGGTCGCGCGGTTTGTCGTAGCGGTCGCGACGGTTGTGGCGATCCACATCGCGATCGCGGTCCCTATCGCGATCACGACGCTCCCGATCACGATCATATCTATCGTGACGGTCGCGTCGGTCCCTTTGACGGTCTCTCGGTGAGGTCTGCCTACTCCTATCTGGACTGGCGCTGCGGCGACTCTCCCACACGGGAGATCGGGCCCTGTTCTCACCCCAGCGGGATGTACGCTCGTCTCTTCCTCTCCACGACATCGCAATGTCCTGCGAACATCACACATAGTAAAACACAAAGTACTCACAAACCGTTGATGCTGATCCCGTGATTCGACGAGCCTTACGATAATCGACGATCAAAACCTTTTTCCTCACTTTATGTTTACCTGCTGAAACTTTCCTGTACAATAGTAAATCCTTAGAAAAGTCAATTATTGTTTTAAACGTAAAGATTTTCAATTTTTATGGATTAATTAAGAAAACATCAAAATAATCGAATAATATGCGACGGAAGCGCCATGTTTTTTTCACAAGGATTGTAAAATACGGCATACAATTACAGATTATAAAATAAAAGTACCTATTTTAATAAAGGTTGAACCATAGATTATAAAACTTTGAACAACTTTAACAACGATGATACAGATAAAATAATTATCGTAGGTAACTTTTACACTATCAGCCCATCCTCACAATATATTCTTCATTTAAATTCAATTAAAATGCATTAGAAAATAGATCCTATTTTAGTTGAAAACTAGTCAGATATTATAGGTAAATAATTTCCACGAACTTTTCGCGATGATTATTTATTATTCATATTTAATATTTTCCTCTCTATATTCATACTTTCGTTTATTTTATTAGCAACAAAGTATGAATGTGCTATATTTTGATAAAGGAGAAGAATCATACATAATATAAAAGTAAGAGAAACAACACATTTAGAAAATAAAGTATATTTTCATCTTAATAGCAGAACAGCTACACTTCCTTCTTTTAAAAAACGTAACAGTGATAAAGATAAAATCAAAGATGTCAAAAAATTTCACTGAATTTCACAAAGACCTACACAAACATCAATGTATTTGATAAAATAAATCTTACAAAAATTTACCAGACAATAAATATTATAATTACAGTAAAATGTTATTATATAATAATTATTGGAAGGTCATCTGCTCTAGCCACTAATTAAGTCATGCAATTTGAGGCAAAGATTAAAATATTCTTAATGTAACTATATTGTAAAAGGGCATACACATCACGAGAATTAATTTTATTCATATATTTTTTTATTAATTCACAAACAATTGTAACTTGTATGCCAAGCTTAATTTTTCACACGAATCATTATTTAAAACATCTAGCATCACTACATAGATAACGGCACATATAGACATAAATCACATATTAGGTTTGAATATTATAAAGTATTTTCATTTATTAATACTAATAAAAATAATAATTAAGTTACACGTCACGTATGTATTATTTAAACATTTGTAAAATTGCAAGCTATTATTCAATAAAGCTATTTATAAATTATTCATTTTTTTATCGGAAATATATAATTATTCGATTTTCTATATCATAAAAATTAATGTTTTCTAAAAACTATATAATTTAAACATTAATTTACTATTATAAGATCTGACTTTAATCAGGATAACAGCGATTTTCTTCTTTCTATCGCTAGCTTTCTAGCTTCTTTCTTATTTCTAGCACTATAATGCAAGCATTAAAGAAGTTCTAACATAAATTTAATTAATAATGAAATTAGGAAAATAATTAAAGTACTTTAGAAAAACAATTGTTAATCGATTCTAATTTTAATAGTACAAAATCGATCTCTTCATAAAATACAAACATCAATAAGAAAGGAACCAGAATCCAGATAAAATTCTGATAATGCTACAAATCACAATGTGTTTTTTACTAATAATATTATTATAATACTTATAAGTTTTGTCTATCATATTATATATGTTAAAAAGCAAACATCTTAATATGAAGGAACATCTATTTATACTGTAAATTATAATCAACTCGAGTTCCACTCCATGTTTAAATTCCTTGTTTTCTTGTATCAACATTTATTTATTAGCACACTAGCTACTATTTTCATAAGTTTTAGCTATTTTAAGCCTGAAAAATCTAGCTTTTCTAGCAAAGAACAGGATTTATACATTAGGTAATTTAAATTCTATTATCTAACTTATGACATAATATCATTTAAAGTCTACAAAAATACATTTGCTGATGATTAAAAAAAATAGTAAACGTGCATAATTTATTTAAACATGTTCATTGAATTTTATATATAAATTACATGATAGACTATATTTAAAAACACAATTGAAAATAGAGCACTTTACATCTAAAACTCACGTGAACTGAATTTGATCAACAAAAAAAACGCGATAATTTTTGGCTCCAACTACGTGTTTTAAATGTCCATGAGTAACAATTAAAACCAAACGTCTTATTTCTAAAGTCTAAAATTACACTTCACTATTATAACTCACTAATTGCTGCCACTCGGCGAGCGAGTCCCTTTGTATTAACTCTGACGACTGAGTTAATCAAAAACATTAAAAACGAAACAAATAAGATGTAATATTCGTAACCATAGATCATCACTACTTATATCCAAAACCATTACTGATTACATTCGTAGTGGAGTTCATTAAAAAGCTAGAAAATCGATTTTCATTTTAAATATCGATAACCTATTGAGATGTCTATGGATACGAATATAAATGTATTTAAAATACCCTAATATGCAAATCGATTATATGCATTAAAGAAACTGTAAGTAGGTATACATTGTACAGCTTTTCTTGGTTAAATATCTATTTAGTCTTTAAATATTATTTTGTTTTTGTATTAACAATAAAATAAGATATTTAAGAATAACTTTGATGTTTATTGAGATTGCTAGAAAAGTTTTTGTATTTTATTGAATCTTTTTATGCTGTTCACATAGAATAAATCGGTTTGCATATTAGGATTATAATAGAGATATGTTATTATTAATACGACCTAGTAAAGGAAGATCTAAAAATTAAAATTTTTAAGAAAATGCTTCCATTAATAGGTATTAGTTTTGCCAGCAGATTCGCAGTCTCTAAATAATCATAAATGCTGACGCTCTCAAGTTATTTAATTTGGCTCTATTAAAGTGATTTCAACAAACACATTTTACAAGATAACTGTAAATATTCAATGCACAAACAACAGCCATTACTTTTTAAATTTAACAACAGATAATAATGACACATCCCTACAAACGACATTTAATTAACAAAATAAAACGAAAGAAAATTAATGAAAGAAAGGATACAGCTAGTCGTCAGAGTCGTATATGAACACCTGGCGCTATTCATGTTGTCCGGTGAGCAAGTGCTCGCGCAGAGTGCAGATCTCACGCTCGATGTTCTCTCTCGCGGCTGCCTCGAAGCATTCGAACTCGGCTGTGTGGTACAGCTTGGGTATTTGGGAGAATTGGTTTAGTACCTGCGAATTGTAATCTATTTAATTTGGGCTTGGAACAGTGGCTTCTATTTTATCTGTTAAGGTTTGTATGTGTGTGTGTTTGTGATAGATGTGGATGAAATTTCATACACAGATATGCCATGATTTGAAGTAACATATAGGATATTGTTAAGCGCAGGCTTAAGGATACATTCGAGCTAAACGAACCTTAAGAATAATGAAGAATAGGCATTCTTAGTTTTGATGACAAAGCTATTGAACTTTCATATTAGTTTACGGTTTAGAGTGACGTGATAAGCATACATTGCTGCGGATGAAATTTTTGGATTAATGCATAAAGGCGTAGAGTAGCTTATAATACGCATGATTACAGTAGGTATATGACTATCATTCTGACTGAATTAATCCACGCGCATTCTTCTTATTCTGCTTAATTCAACATTTTTTTTTCAATTAGCAAAGATAAGATATATTTAATGGTTATTTTCTGATCTGCCTTTCCATTAAGGAAAGGCCCGTTTTCATCAGTGAGACGTAAAAACATTTAAGTACTATTAATAAATAATAGCCTTTCCTTTCATACGTCAGTTTTTATTTTAAATAAGTATACAAATATTACAGACTTTTTGCCTTTGGCTTTTATTTCATACGTCAGTATGTACAGTCGTAGGTCAATTGAAACTCGCCTCCAACTCACCTTGATCCTTAATTCCACATAGTTATTGTTGGTGAGGTTAGCATACTCAGCTCGTACTAGCTTGGCGTGCGCGTCGTACTCCTCACGCGACGCCGCCAGCACCGCCAGCTCGCAGTCGCCGAACAGCTGCAGGTCCCGCAGGGGAGCCCCACCTCCTGAACCTCCTCCTGCAGCCCCTGCACCCCCCGAACCACCCCCTGCAGCACAGTGAGCTGTGGTCATCGGGGTTATTAGCTATCCCCGTCCCCAATGTCACTCATATCCGTTGAACAATCACAGTATAAAGTGAAATGTGAAATTTTCAGTTTTGTATTATTACTGTGATAATCAATCACACTGATTCAATAAAGAAAATACGTGTGTATATACTTATGTACGCACGTAAGAAGTTATACTTCTTTGACGTAACAAAACAAAAATGGCTAAAGATTTCATCCCGTATGTCATCACTCTCTATTTATAAACGGAATGCAGTTAACTTCAACATGTCGCTTTCAGCTAAATTCATCATGTCGCTTTTTGGCTGTCGGTGAGCGCGCGCATCGTAAAAATTTTACTCTCCTAATTTTATTCAAACGTGTCAAAAAAAGGATACTTTCAATAATGATGGGTTTGTTATTTATAAAACCTACACCCATCGCTTGATTTGCCATACGTGTGTAAAAGTCTTTTTTTTAATTATATTTAATTATGATGCCAATTTGATGAGGTTGCCCTATAATTTTACTATACCCTATAATTTTTTTTAACTATCAATAACTTAGACATAAATTGTGAAATTTATAAATACTTACCAGGTAATCCAGCACTCGACCCACAACTGCCGCACCACGCTTCGTCATCGGTGAGTAGAGCGAGCACGTACGCAGTCAAGTCTTGCTGGGATTAGAAAATATTTTTTTATTTAAAAAAAACTATAATTACATTTAGACTTAAGATTACTTTATATAAATTATTATTACTCATAGTAATATAAGATGAGAGTAACGATTCTAATGCACAGACTTTAAAAACCTGATACCTACTAAGGACACATTTTACATTAAGAGATTAGTTTCAAAGATTCGGAATATTGTAAAAAGGGGATGTCAAAGTATAGCATCTTAATACGTTACAAACGGTCACGCATCGAATATACTGTTATGGTTATTCTGAGTTATTCTAGTATTCACCGATTGTGGATGTAAATGTAACAAATCCGCCAAAAGCCTGACAGTCAGCTCAGAAGGCGTGTGCCTCAGAACTATCGCCAGCTTAAACGCTGCAGGTTGCATTACATCAGCTATACCCTTTAACTGTAGGTTGTGCCACACTCCTGCCTGAAACAAAAAAAAATAGAAAAAGAAAATAATATTAAATGATTAATAAATAAAAGTAACAATGTTGCTTTATTTTTATTAAAAATAGAACATAGAATTATTGTAAGTTGATAGTGCATATCGGGCCTTATAATATCTTAAACTACTACTACGGGTATAAGATCTAAAACTACTACTAAAGAAATCTATAAGTCCATAAATCTTTAGGTTTCTAGGTTTTATAATTATAAAATATCAACATTACAAAAATGTAGTAGACCCTCAAAAAACACCATGATTCTCAAACAAAGCTTTGCATTATATAATTTCATAAAACTCTTTCATTCTCTTTGAACACGAGATTATCACCATTCAACATAGAAAAAATCGCGACAAAATAAAATAAAACTCAAAATAGAAACGAACACCACAGAGAGACCACCACCACCCCGCACCACAGACTTTTTGTCCGCGACAAGAACTCTGTGATGATTCTATAGTCATTTAAAAAAAAATACAATAACTATACCTGATAAGCCACACAGTTCCTCAAGGAATGCCACACGGAGTCCGACGGCGAGGCCTCGACTATCTGCTGCCAAGCCTCGTCCGCGGCCGGCGCCACCAGTGTGTTGCACGCGCTGCGCCACATGCGCGACGCGGCACATCCCTCGCGCTCGCCTACTCAATGTACTTGTTACTTGTGCATATATTACTCAATGGCAACATTAGTCTATGTGTAAGTTCAGGTATAGTATATCTGTATACCAAATTTCATCCAAATCCATCCAGCCATTTCAGCGTGAAGGAGTAACTAACACATACATATAAACTTTAAGCCTGATGGCCCGATTTATTTGATATACTTTTGAAATGTGAGTAAATAGCTCCGCAGTTATTAATATTGCTACCATAATAATAGTACAGAATAAAAATCCAAGTAGCATCACCCATTGATTTTTTCGGAAATGCTGTGAAATGCAACGGTTGTTAATAATATCGCAGCGTGTTACTGTTATACCCAAAGACCCGTTTCCCAACTATCTAGGCCAGTCGAGTTAGTATTTAAAACTGGACTTTAATAATGATAGAGATCAGCATTGTAGGAATTTTAATTCCACACAAATTTGTTCCTGTACATTAGGCCTTAAAGGAAATAATTCAATAATTACATTTCCCCAATTTTTTGCCCTTAACTCGGAAAATATCGATAGCACGAAAAAATCTGCAGCAAAAAATTCTAGAATTGAATAATGAGCAACTTATACCGTATGATTTTTCTTTAAAAAAAATGGAAAAATGGCCTAAGTACATATTGAGGAAAAACGATTCCCCCTAAAAATCAAGATGGCGACTAACGCACCGCTCGTATTTGGTCACGATTTTAAATTTACACTCCCAGTGACACCTAAATGGCGGTGAAATAAATTTTTTGGCTAGAATTTTTTTGGGGATAGGCTCATATTTTCGGCAAGCCAACTGGGCTAATCATATAAAAATAAGTAGTAAGTATGACAGTCGGGTGCACCTCACTCATATGTCTCACCCATAGGCCTCTCTATGTCATTAGCTCACCTTACACGCCCTACACGCTTTGCTCTCTCTTGTCTAGACGTCAATAGACGACTGTTGCCCTACTTCACCAACGTCACCTAAGTTTAAGGGATCCCCTAAGCAAGGTTAGGGGGCTGTTAGGGGACAGTTTCTGTTTCACCGACAATTAGGGGTCACCTAAATGTTAAAAGGCCCCCTAAATTTAGATGCTCGAAATATGGGCTTAAAGACGATGGTAAAACTAAATTTAATTTAGGGGCTAGTTTAGGGGAATTTTAATCTAGGGATCCCATACGTAGGTGGTAGCTTATGGGTTGTTGGTGAAATCGGGCATGTATGAGTTAATAGATAGTGTGATAAATTGATAATAGGTAGAAGGTGCAAATAGCATCGCTCGATTGGCAGTATAATACGCGTACTTTGCTTGTTCTTTGGTAGGAAGTACTGCGTTAATTTAATTTAATGGTATATTCGTAATATTATGAGCCCTTAGTACGACTTGAACATAAAGTGACATTAATTAATCATTGGTATTTTCCATATTTCTAGGCTCTAGCATCGCCTCTAGCAGAGAAAAGTAAGCCAAAGTCAATGATGAATAATTATAAAAAAATCTCATACTGATGAAGGCCATGGTTTAAGCATCATGCATTAAACTTTGACAAAGGAGGAATATATAAATATATTTGGTACGATTATTTGAATATAAAATAAATACGTAGGTAATTGGCTTATAATAGTAGATAAAATGTCAATTAATTCTAATATTAGAAATTTATATGTATATTATTCTGAGGTGCATTGTAATAACTTTTACCTGCTGCAATAACAAACAATAGATAAGCATTCTAAGGTAACGGTCTATGAGGTACGCACTCATATCAAAATCTGGTAATTGTACCTTATTTCTAGTAGTTTAGTTGAACACAGTGTATAGAATTATAGAATTCTTAGAATACTAGGCAAGTTTATTAAATATATATATATATATATATATATATATATATATATATAGATATGATACTTATGCATTTTAATTTTACCAAATAATTCAAGGATCGTGTGACGTCACATGCAATTAATTTAGGTGTCGTATCTAAATTTATTTTTAAAATTTAAAATTTAAAACAAACTTATTTCCGTTTTGTAAAAATAAATTAAATTTATCTAAATAAACAACTTTTATTATTTTTATAACAAGCACAAAATGACATACAACGGAATATCACCTCCCATATCCGGCTCTCGCCACCAGTTATTAATCGCCATCGTTATAACTTGTTCCTTTTCAATCTACCTGAAAATTTATAATTGCACAATTATTAGTTTTACTTAACGTAACAAAACCTTAAAAAAATGAATATAAAATTTAAAACAAACTTATTTCCGTTTTGTAAAAATAAATTAAAAGTCTGTGGTCATACATACAAAACTAAATCTAGTATACTCTATGCCCGTGATTTAAAAAAGAAACAATAATCGAGCTCAGGATTTTACGCTCTATGTCCGTCTCTATTGCTTTCTAGAGATTTCTCATACATATAAAAACATTACTGTATATTATCTAAAAAGTAACATAATTCAATGAGATAGTAATGATTAATACGAAAAATAAAGCAGAATATAATAATAAGTGTTACTTACGTGAGATAATCCTCCAATATTTTGTATTTAGGTTATGACTCCAAGGTGTATTTTAGAGCGTGTTAGCGATGTAGGGCGAGCGCGAGTGCCGTGCGGGAAACCGCCGTAGAGAGGGGATGGAATGTAGTGATGTGAACAGCAAATATCGATTCTCGATTGGTTTTTGTTTTAGTCGTAAAATGGGATTACTTCGGAAATTAAGATGGTAATCCCATAACGGTACCTACAACTATTCTTAAAATTACATACATTGATATGTAAGGTAATGATTTTATAAAATGATATCATGGTTTTCTTAAGACCAATAATTGATAATAAAAATAAATTTCTCCTTTTAAAATGCATTATGTAAATACTTTTTGAAGTGAAACTTCTTTACGCGCGTGAGAGCACCAGGTCGCGTCACGAAAAACCGTCATGGTTTTCATAGTAAAAGTGGTTATTGTCTGCAAAATGATATATATATATATATATATATATATATATATATATATATATATATATATATATATCCGTCGTCCCACCGGAGTATATATAAATAACCAATAAAGTTTCATTTCTAGCACGTTTCCATAGAAACTTGTTTTTTTAGTACATATTCTAGTTATGAAATAATACCTCTAAATATATTTTACCCCATTGATATTAAAATTACTTTCGACAAATATTTCCGATTAAACTCAAATATTTTTGTAATTTTTTTTGTTAATGAAGCATTTGTATAGCGACTTACTCTCGCTTTGGTCGGGTACATCCTTAGGTATGTTTCAAACAGATAAAAATAGTTATTGTGAGTGTACCTCAGGAAATACTCATAAGCTATCGTCGATTTTTCTGTAGGCCTTTTTAAGATCTACAATTTTCTAATGCATTGTTTTGATATATCTCTTAAAATTTAGCCGGCTTATGCCCGATTTCACCAACAACCCATAAGCTACCCCCTACGTATGGGAAACCTAGCTTAAAAATCCCCTAAACTAGCCCCTAAATTAAATTTCGTTTTACGATCGTCTTTAAGCCCATATTTCGAGCACCTAAATTTAGAGGGCCTTTTAATATTTAGGTGACCCCTAACTGTCGGTGAAACAGAAACTGTCCAATAATGCAGCCCCCTAACCATGCTTAGGGGATCCCTTAAACTTAGGTGACGTTGGTGAAATTAGGCATTAGCCTTGTCAGCTTGCAAAAACTTTTTTTTTTGCCAAAACACCCTCCTGGTTCAGTTATTTTGTAAAAAATAATTACAAATTATATACGTAAACTTTTAAATACAATGCAAATTTAATTCTGCGCATTTTGTCTTTTCTCTTTAAAGGACTTGGGAATTAAAGTTCATTCTTTATATCACTATTCCTCTACTACAAACAATGCAGTACTGGCTTTCTAACAGACTTTTGTTTATACATTACAGCTTAGAAGATTATAATTTCTACTTTAGCCCAATCACATTCAAGCAAGTATTTTATTATTATTAAAGTTATTCGATATACTAGTCTTTAAAATACTTGTAAATGCAGGTTTATGCAATACCTCTAAATACACTTATAACCAATATAAGCCTATAACTTTTTGTAATTGTCGATACTTTATTTTAGAACATCACTGTGTTTTATAAGGGTAGAATATTGGCGCATGCGCCAGGTCGCTTCGAGAGGCAACCTTCACGGGAAATCTGAGTCATCGTAAAAACCTTTACAGAATACATTGCAACTACCAAAAAATAAAAATTGTGAAGCCAATTATTCGCGTAAAATTTTCTTTTTGTACCCATATTTATTAAAGTTTTTAGTTTAATTAATGTATTTTTTTATAGCTTCCAATATCCAACATCCCTATCTCAAGTCTCTACCTAACCTAATATATTATTGTATCCTTTTCTATCAGCCTCGTCTTATGGATGTTTTAAAGTTTATAATAACTATCAATTTTAATGGATAAGTTAACTGCAAAGGTATTCCAATTTATTATTATTTATTTAGGTTAATTTGTTAAATTATAAAAATTTTGCCTATATACCTAGTGTAACAAAAATAATAATAAATAATTTAAAATATTTCAGATACCTATATAAGTTTTTGTTAAAGATAAGAGCAAAGAATATTGCATTGACATTAATTAGATTTATTTATTCACAATTTCTCTTAATGTGTGTACATAAATGATTAATTATTGACTGGAATTCATTCACTCTTCTAAAAAGTATGCAGCTATTTATTTATTAGGAGCCTACTTATATTAAATATTTAGTTAATCCGCTCCGTACTTCGTAAAATAAATAAGCCAATTTTTTTTGTAATATAACAATTTTGATTTTTGAAATATTGATAGATACATATAAATAATAATATTGTCGGTTTTCATATTTTACTTTATTTTAAAAAACTTAATAGAAATACTTCGAAGATAGATTAAATCAAAAAATATCATTAGAACTTTACTGAAATTTGCGTAAATAATACTTTTATTTACACATTCCAAAATTCCAAAACAAGTAAATATTTTTATGAAAACGGTTAAGATCTCCCACCAAGTACCACTTTTACATGCAAGGGCTCGATGCCACTCAGCCAGTCACTTACCAACACTGGCAGAATAAGACGTGATCAGCGCCTTTTCAATTATATTTGAAAAACTACGCTCCGAACGCGCGCCAAATAGAAAGTTTTAAAATTTTTATATATTTTTTTTTAAGTTTTTAGTGCTTTAGTGGAATACATTGTGAATAATTATTGTATTATAGTGTAAAATGGCAATAGTGCGGTTTTTAATTTATTTGGTAAGTTTACTATTTATCACAAATCTATATATATATATATATATATATATATATATATATATATATATATCTGACATATATTATAGTGTATGTTATATATTATAATGTAAAATACATTCTTAAATTTATTTATGATCTCAATAATATTTATAACTTGTTTTTCAGAATTTTATATTTAAATACATACTTACACATGTAAAAGTATTCGCTTACTTTTTTTTTTGCAGTCTTATCACTTTTCAAAATCACATTTAAAAACAACAGAATACCTACCATTAAAAACTCCAAGACAGTGACTTACAAGTAGAATATTATCTTGGAGTTTTTAATAGTACCTATTCTTATTCACAGATGTTAAAAAAATTACGAGTTAAAAAATAAGGTATTTTTTAACTATATATATACGTTATTTTAAATTTTTATTATATACCTATGTGTTTTATTTAAATACTAGCGGCTCACCCTCGCTTCGCTCGGGTTCGCCTCTAGAAAAACACTGATAGAAATCTATTAGTTCCCACGGGAACCGTTCATTTTTCCCGGATGAAAAGTAACCGGTTGCTTGACCGGCAATATAAGGTATTAGAATGTTAAATTTTACTAAATTAGATGCATAAGTTGTATAAGTTATAATAGTTTTTTAACTATCCCACAGGAACCATTTAATTTTTCGGGATAAAAAATATCTAAGACGTTGTCCGGGGATATAAGGTACCACCATGCAAAATTTCATTTAAATCGGTCCAATAGATTCGGGGATTAGCCCGTACAAACAGACAAACAGACAGAGAAACAAAAAAATTGAAAAAATCTGGATTTGTTCTATTTGTCTTCTTACATCCCCCTGACTCGCGATGGCTTATTATTAGCGTATTTCATGTATAACTTTGGTGTTTCTATACCGATTTCTATTATTCTTTTTTATGGAATAGTTTATAATGTTAACTTTTTTAATTAGGGATGACTGAGAGTGTTATAAACGTAAGAGTAGTAGACAAATATAAATCAGAAAGCTTTGAACTGCTAAGCTATCGGGAGTTACACGTGTTATTGTGAGTCAACCATAAAAGATAGATATATTCTGTCGTTGGATATTTTTTATATAATTTTAAGGAGAACATTTCCGTCATACATGATTTCTGTGTAGCTTTAACCATTAAGGTAGCACACGCGACGGACGCTTAAAAAATGGAGTAACTTCTCCCGTTTTCCCAACATTTGCCTTCACTGCTCTGCTCCTATTGATTGTAGCGTGATAAAAAGTATACCTTAACCAGATCAGGAGTATGAAAAATAATTGTACCAAGTTTCGTTAAAATCCGTCGAGTAGTTTTTGTTTCTATAACGGTTATACAGACAGACAGACAGACAGACAGACAGACAGACAGACAGACAGACAGACAGACAGACAAAAATTTTACTGATTGCATTTTTGGCATCAGTATCGATCCCTAATCACCCCCTGATAGTTATTTTGGAAATATATTTCATGTACAGAATTGACCTCTCTACAGATTTATTATAAGTATAGAAGATATGTAATTGACTTTTTCGTTATACTTCGGTGTACTACATAAAAGTACCTATATGTATGGTACCATGATAATAAACATTAAACATTTACTTAATGCGCCTAATAATCGCTGTTAAAAAATTATAATGTATTTAATGTACGAGAAATGTATACGGTATACCTACCTATTTTTAAATATTCACTTTCAAATTCATATGTTTCCTTTAGAAGTAGTGTTTCTCTCAATTCTAGCTATTTAAATCTGGTTCGATTTCAATATGAATGGTCAATTGTAGTAGTCTTTACTAACAGCATTTTAAGGGCGTTAGTCGCATGTTGTAGAAGTACAATAGAGAGAAAGCTGCGGTCGCACTGTGAATCAGTAGGAATGTATTCCAAAACGAGTAATGCGTTGAATTGTTCTCGTTCTACACTGTATAAGTTGGCGGAGTTAATATCTCTTACGTTATGTTATAGACAAGTGGTGAAATTTATCATTAGGTACTATTTAAGTAAAGAAACTATTCTATTAATTTCTTTAATGAATCAGTCATTATATATACATATAATATAAAAAAATTTGAACAAAAAAATAAAAACCGACTTAAAAAAAGCACTAAAAAGTAAAAAATAACTGATTGGTAGTTTTCATTTACTATACATACGTAATCAAATATTTTCGAAGTCGGTGTGCTTTGCTTTGTATCGGTTGGCACCGTGGAGTTCTGAGGTAACAAACATAAAAAAAACATACAGCCGAATTGAGAACCTTCTCCTTAAGCCGAATCTGTACATCAAATATTTTTTTAAAAACCTTATTGAAATAGACATTATTATCGATACAGAGGCCGAATCTATAGTTTTTAGAATTTTTGTCAGTCTGTCTGTCTGTCTGTCTGTCTGTCTGTCTGAGAACGCGTCACGAGAAAACCACTGGACAGATTTCGATGATGATAGCTGGTTATTCAGGTCAACATATAGGATACTTTTTACTGCAGGAAAATATCTCATCTCTGAGAAATCTATACTAAACGTTAAAACGTAAGCAGGCACGCATCCGAGCGGAGCGATGGTGAGCCGCTAGTTTGATTATATTATGCAAAAGCCTGTCAGATTATAAGCATATCCTATAATCTTTTAATTTTAATCAAATTTTCACATAATATAAACACATTTTGACAATATTTTGGATAGACCAATTCCAAAAGAACGCGTATAATTGCGTTTATAATTTGTATACTTTGACAATAAATTAAGTATACATATAGTGTCGACAAGTGAACTAGATCTAGTTGCATTCTCATTATACGTTCCTAGAAGTCTACAGGCGGTGCAGTGGGACGCGGAATACCGTTCTGTTCCGGCGCAGGCGCAGGTGGTCCGTTATCATTGAATATTGTATGAAAACCTTTAGTTGCTTAGGAAGACGAAACGATCATTCCGTCTGTATCTTCTTTATTTTATTTAAAATGAGCTTTTTGTTGTGATAGCGACGTGACCTGTATATATGTTTATGTGTGGCCTATGTTCCATCATAACTCCAAAACTGCTGAACCGATTTTGATACGTCGTTAGATTCGTCTTGATAACACGGGTGGCATTGGGTATATTAAAAGCATTAGAAAAATGTCGGATGCATTAATTTGGGTATATTGATTTTTTTCCTCCTAACCTCTTTTTTTGTCTCGTACTGGAAAATAGACTATCCTACGTAATCTTCTTCTTCTCGTCTTTCTAATTCGCATTTTACAAAATTGAATTTTTAATATTTGTAATTTTTTACCATTACGATACTTCATCCTAGTTAATCGCTCGTGTACTCGTATACATACAGCAGTTTTGCCTGTTTTGGCCCAATTATTAAATATAGTTCATTTGTTCAGTTTTAATTTATTCATCTTAAATAGTTTTGACGTGAAAAAAGGATCAACAAACACAATCTCGCATTTATAATATTAGTATAGTATGGATATACCAAAATATGATCATACTATGACTTTGAATAAAGTACATTCAACCCTTTTCGCAGTTACGAGTACATTTGCGTCTTAGTGCTAATTGTTAAGCTAATAGACCGAGTAGTGGACTAGTGTATTTTTGTAAATATTTTTTAATAACATCCTATGATAGGAAAAATCTTCTTCTTAAATCCAATAGTTTCTTATATGTTATGCTCAATCTGAACCGAATTTTAAAGTTATTTTTGCATAGATTAAAAAAAAAGGCTTGATGAGTATCAAATTCTTATTTTAATAGAGAGTTACTATAATATATTTGTCACTGTATTGTTTGTGCTTAAAAAAATCCTTGTGAATAAAAAAAAACTTTGTCTTTTTACGTGATTTTTTGCGTTGAGGTAATTAATTAAACGGGTGGCGCTGGATTTAAACTAGGGGCACTCGGGGCTAGTGCCCAGGGCGGCAAAATTCGGGAGGCGAAAAAAAATTTTGTTCGCGTTATGGAAAATGCTTTTTATTTTACAAAAAAAAAAGATTAACTAGAACTTAGGTAAATTTTTTGAAAAATTGATATCTATACATACCTATTATAATAAAATTGTAACCAAGCCGAATCTGAACACAAAATATTTTTTGGAAAATCTTATTGAAGTAGACATTATTATCGATACAAAGGCCGAATCTATAGTTTCAGGTGTCTGTCTGTCTGTCTGTTACCGCATCACGGAAAACCCACTGAAGTGATTTTGACGTAATTTGGTATGATGGTAGCTGGTTATCTGGGTCAACATATAGGATACTTTTTACTGCGGGAAAATATCTCATCTCTGAGAAATCTACACTAAACGTTAAAACGTAACGTATTATAAAATGGTTTCCTGGGATTTTCTCTGTGATAATAAATATTTTGAATTAGAGACCATGAAAAAAGAGATTGGGCATCAAAGTAGTTCTTCGTGGAAGTTGCTAAATATGTTAGCATTGTAACTGCTATTTTATTCAGTGAACAATCAATAAAAATCACTAGGAAATAGTGTTCAGTTTAACGTTAATTAGGCAATCACATCATAACTATGAATTTCCAAAACAGTAATAATTGCATTAGTGCATTTATTACGTCAAATATAATATCCAATTACCTACTACCGAATCTCTTTTCACCTGTGATGATCATTTTCTTTCTATTTTTCACTTGTCAACCGCATTAGAACAATATTATATGGGCTTGCCCAAAGAAACAAACTCCTTTTTTTACGTTGGGAAATGCATTTACGCACGAGGTGTGGGCTCACCGGCATAATAAAGTCAGTACTACCCACTAAAACCCAACAAAACCTTCCCCGTCTTAATGGGGCGTCGCAGGATCGCTTACGCATTCAATTACGACGCCCCGATGGCAGGTCTGCCGAAGCAGACCACCACAACCGTGGTGTTGCTCCAAGATCCATTCTGCTATCAGACAAGTACCAGGAGCAACCCACATAGTACACCGCCCACCGAAGAGAACTACCTCCCACCGCCCACCGAAG